ATTGTAGTAGAAAATTCAAGCTAAATAAGAAAAATAAAAACCATTGGAAACTTCTGAGCACTTAGTAAAAAAATTGTGCTTTTTGATACAAAAAGTGAAAAAGATATTAATGTTTATAACTTTCACTTACAAATTTGCATTAATTAATTTTTACTTTATAGTATTTTTTCTTATTCCAAAAGTAATGCATGCTTGTTATAAAAATCCAAATATTTTAGGAATGTAGAATGTAATTATCATAATCATAGCTAACACTTATTGAGAGCTTACTATATTGCAAGCATTGTTTTAAACAGTTTACAGGAATTAACTCAATATTTTTAGAAGGTAGAAATTCGCTGAAACACCAGCCCTTCCCTAGATCCTCAGAAAACTCATCAATGAGAGGACAGAAGTTTAAATTCATGACTAGAAGGGAATTCAGTAATTTTTCTGAGTTAACGTCTTTCTTATAGATACTGTGTGGTAGCCTAGTGAAAGTAGAAAAACAAGGCTGTTGTACCCATGGCCCCAAATCTTTTTGCAATAAATAATTTTCAAGAAAAATTTGGCCCTTCCTTACGTCATTCTGTCCTAACTCTAGGACACAAGGATTGAAGAATCTCATAGTTAAATGTGTCATTAGAGTTCAGGGAAGCCTTAATGATCACCTAGATCAGTAATTTTTCAGTTGTGTCCCTGGAGAATTCTAAATTTCTATTGAATTGCAAAAAGGGTTGCCAACCACTTTAACCTGAATACTTTATGGTATTTTTGAATATGAGGCTCTGATTTAAGCCTTCGTTTTAAAATGGGATTTTGTTGCAGAAATAGTTGAAACCACTGATCTAATTTAGTCTTTCTTTGCATAGAGATATTCCTGTAAGAATATGCTTGGCAGGTGGCTGTCCAGACATGAATCTCTCACCAGACACCCTATCCACGTTTGCGTGCTCAAAAAGTTCTTCCTTATACTATCATCCAAAACATGCCTTCTTTTTCCTGTAAGACTTAATTTTCCTGTAAGACTTAGCAACCCCAAATAATTTCCTGTTCCAGATGGCAGCCAGGAAATATATCTAAATGGCTACCCATTCTTCATTCATAATTGCCTGCCAGTGAGACCTCTGTGTCTTAAACAGAATCCTATCTAGTGATAAGATTTCTAGGCCCTCTTCGATTCTGATCACCCTCTTCTAAAGTCCTCTAATTACTGTTATTTCTCATCAAACATCACTCCCAAGCATAATTCAGTATTCTAGATGTGATCCAGCCAATGAGCTATGTATTAGGACTTTTATCTTATTTAATTCATGCTCTGTTTTAATACTAACTTGGCTGGAGCACGCATAAGTTTCTTTTTTCTTCTCTCTTTTAAAAACAGTTTTTAAAAAATGGGTTAATTTTAAATGTATAGCTAATTGAAATCCTTTTTCTACATATATTGTAGTCGAGGCATATCTTTCTCCTCTTGTATTTCTAGAAGCCACTGATTTTTGAACCTGAATCATTTGTTATGCTTATCTTGATTAAAGTGAATCTAAGTCTTGGCCCATTGATGTACTGTGCTAGAATTCCCAATGGTGTTCTGTATAGAAAGGATTCTGTGGCCACGTGTCACGCCTGCCTTAGAAATTCACAGTTACAGGCCAGGTGCAGTGGCTCATGCCTGTAATTCTAACACTTTGGGAGGCTGAGGGAGGAGGGTTACTTAAAACCAGGAATTGGAGATCAGCCTGAGCAAGAGCTGTCTCTACAAAAAATAGAAAAATTAGCTGGGCGTGGGGGATCATGCCTATAGTCCTAGCTACTCTGGAGGCTGAAGCAGGAGGATTGCTTGAGCCCAGGAGTTTGAGGTTACTGTGAGCTCTGAGGATGCCACTGCGCTCTAGCCTGGGTGACAGAGTGAAACCCTGTCTCAAAAAAAAAAAAAAAAAATGCTCCATACAGAATTTGCATAAAGTACTATCTTAAAGCAACCTATTTAATGTAACATTTATTTTAGCATACAACATTTTTTTTCTTTCTTTTCCCTTTCTTATGTCTTCCTCTCCATATTTTTTAAAAGCATAACATTTGATTACCTTACTAGAATAGTATTCCAGGAAACACTGGCCAGGCCTATCAAAAGAATTTTGATTGTAAGAACTATCCCTTTAAGATGATGTTAATTGTAAATTTGATTACCATGTTTCTTATAGTTCAATCCGGTTCCACAGTTAAAAGAGTAATTGCACAGGGTCAAGAAAGAGTTCTTTACATACAAACAGTATTGTTCCTAGATTTATATAAGTAGGAAAGATGGAGTGTTCTTGAGGGTATTGTAATAATTTTGGAGTTTACATTCTTGGGATGTTGTTGTAATAATCTTATCTCAGAATTTGGGGACTTAACAAGAAAAATTACTATTTTCTTAGTGCAGGAATTTACTTTTTCTCTGATATCCTGATGTTCAAAGTCAGGATATTATTCTTCATACTGATGTTCTTCATGATTTATTTCTTGTTAGTGGTTTCATGATCATACATAAAAAATCTTTTAGCAAACAATGTTAAACATTGGGCTGGAAAATCTTATAGTATTTATCACATTGTTTCTCACTGTTCAAGGGCATCTGTCATGAAGGCAACTTGTCTTGTGTGGACGAAGTATATAAGTAGCTGATAATTCATTTAAAAATATTTTATTTGAGTACTCCAAAACCAGGCTTATAGGTTATCAGAACCCAACAGGGGGTGATATCCTAACAGTATTGCATTTTAACCATTATAAAAGTTCTTTTATATTTTATTACTACAACTTAATATCTACTTGTCATCAAAATGGCCTATTTCAGTTTATAGGGATACACTTCAGGGAAACTTCTCTGTGAATAACCTCTGTGATTAAAATGTGACTATTCCTTAAATGGGCCTCAGTGCTCTCCCTATTACATAGATAAACAAGGCTATTATTATATTAGGCCCATTTTTTGGTCAACTTTTCTCTATAGATCATTATTTTCAGAAAATATTAACAGTATGCTATGTGAATGAGAAGAATAAGTTTGAGAAAAACTAAACAAGAGCACCCTCCTTTTGGAGAGTACATTAGCATATTAAAGTCCTTGAGAAATTTTGTGGGATTAAAAAAAAGACCTACCTTCGTTTAACCTAATGTTTTCCGAACTTATTTGAATATAGAAGGCTTTGTTTTGTTTGGTCCCTCCGATTCACCTGTTAATGCCATTGTGAGTCATTACTACTGAATTTGAGTTTTCAATCCACATGTTGGTTTGAATATTGCTGCCCCCCTGGTCTGTGCCACCTCTGATGGGCTGTGCCTTCTTACTATTGCATCTTCCATTCCCACAGCCAGCGTTAGGAATGTTGAGTCCAGCTGAGAGTTTACATGAGATCAGCCAAATATTTTCTTCATTTATTCAAACATCCAATCACGCATGAAGGCACACCAAGGACAAAGCAGTGATATATAAGAGGAGACCAATAAGTTTATATGACAGACCTCCTACCCTTGCAGAGTATATGTCCCAGGTCCAGAGATGAGATCCACCCAAAGAGCCCTAATAAAGAGGATCCAGAGAGAGATACTCAGGGCTATCAGAATTTAGACAAGGGAGAAAGCAGCTCCAGCTGCATGATTGTGAAAGCCTCGATGAAACAGTTGGCCCTTGAGAATGGGCCCTGAAGGTCAGCTGAATTTTGATGGGTGCAGGGCCCCCATTGTAGGAGGAAGGAATGACACAAACAGAAACACAAGACACGGAAGTCCATGAGACTTACATGTGGAACTTTGGGCGATTCACTTTCATAGACTGGAGGAGAACAGTAGGAATTAAATTTGAAACGATTGATCTGAGTTCATTAATAATATTATGTGACAAGAAAACCAGAAAATTTACGAGAAAACTAACAAAATATAATATGGGAGGTTTTCAACCAGAAGAATTGCTATTTTTCCTTCCTGCCTTGTATTTTGCCTATTGTCCTCCCTTGGGGAGTCCAGGCTACAGTATAGAAGGATATATTTTTTTTAAAGAGATAAGGTCTCGCTGTGTTGCCCAGGCTGGAGTGCTATGGTTATTCCCAGGCATGATTATAGTGCACTCAGTCTCGAACTCTTGGCCTCAAGCCATCCTCCTGTCTCAACCTCCTGAGCAGCTGGGACTGCAGGTGTGAGCCACCACACCCAGCTTTACAAGTATTCTTTAGAAAGGCTTTATTAAACTCTCGACCAATCCCAGTTGTACTGAGTTTTTATATCCTGAGACTACTTAAATTACAGGCTATGTGCAACAGTAAAACACGAATGCAAATCACAGTGCTGCCCATGTTCAAAAATATAATGACTTATTGATTTCATTTTCAGAGTTTTATGAAAATATGTGATATAGTTGTATGGATTTTTATTCCAGTATTAAGAACCTTTCATGTGGTACTGTGTTCCTAGTAATGACAATCTTAAGGAAAGAAAAATTCTCTTCCTTTTGGAAATGATAAATCCTCTTCATTCTAGTTTAACATTATTCTTGATGTTACTCTACTGAGGAGTCCAAAAAGTATTTTTATCTGTTCTAGTCTTCATTAAGTATCTGTCTGTACCAGACTTGTAAGAAATGATTTTATACTTTTTTGTATTCTCAAACCCTAGTGGCCAGTGATTTAGATACAGAGAGGAAAGAAAATTTACCAATGGGGTTTAAAGATCTAAGGTGTAATGTGATTAATGGTGGTACTAGAGGAGTACAAAGAAAAATTAGAGAAGATCTCCTTTAAATAACTGATTTGAGTGGCAAAATTAAAATGATATCCATGGTATTGGTTAAATGCCATGCATCCCAATTTTGCTGTGGGTCACACACATCATGCAGTCAAATCGATGTCATAGCAAGTTGTGTTTTTAACACATGTGCACAGTGGGGAGAAAGAGTTTGAGAACTCTGAAACTGTAGAAAAATATATTTCGCTATTTATTGGGTTTCTGTGATCTGTACTTACACCACTTTGGTCCTGATCTCACAGGAAGTCAGAACTTCGCATCAACAGAGCCTCGCTTGCTGATTCTGGAGAGTATATGTGCAAAGTGATCAGCAAGTTGGGAAATGACAGTGCCTCTGCCAATATCACCATTGTGGACTCCAATGGTAAGAGATTCCTACTGCGTTCTGTCTCTCAGTACTGTAAGAGGAGTGCTCGAGACATGGGGTAAGACTTGTGATAGCTTGCTGTGTTCAATCTCATTGTGCACAAATTACAAGCTTAGAAAGAAAAGCAAACATTTCAAGTATCTTGTGTCTCTTCCATAAAGCCCTTCACTCCACGAGATGATACAGACCCAAGATATACACAGATTTTTTAAAAAAGGATTTGAGCAAGGTCATGAGTAGCAGAGACAGGATGGGTTGCTAAAAGAAAGAGGTTGGTCAGGAAGGACAATCAAATCTTTGGCTCTGCTAACAACAGAATACTGTTGCACAGAATGTATTTATATACACTTACAAAATATACGTCTACATATATGTATGTTACATTTGTGTGTATATATACAAAATACAGTCCTGACTCATTATTGGCAATTTGTATTCCTACATAGGTTGTTAAATGATTATATCCAGCTGTGGGCAGCAGAAAGTTTAATTTTTTTTAGGCCCATTAATTTTAAAATTAGGGAGACTCTTAGAGCCAATGAATTTGCTACTGTGCATATGGCTTTAGCTTCAGCTTTCCTCAGAATAGTGCCAGGGAATATCTGTCAAATGAATGAATGACTTAGAGGTAGGAAGTGCTACCTACTTACTGTGGGAAAGTGAAAGAACCACAGCTGATGGCTCTTTGATTCATAATACCCTAATACTCCACAGTTTGATTGAGTCATCTCTAGGAGCTGACAATGACTTGACAATGCTTGTTTAAAATCTCTTGGAATAATCAGATGCTATTTTATAACCTTCGGTGCCTTCTTTCCTTTTGGAATTAAGCCAGTTGACTGTTGCCTTTACAAAATCCGTCATCTCTTATAAAAGCAAGCCTAGTTGCGTTGCTTCTTGGTGGGCGATGAGAAAAAAGCATGCATGTCTCTTTTCAGGACATGATCTCTTTAAGGGATAAGGTAAAAATGCCATGTTAGCACAGGAAGAGTAAAAGTAACTTTCAGGGTTAATTTCATGGGAGATTGATAAGAGTTTTTATTGCTTGATCCATCTATAATGTAATAGGATAGGGAGAAAGGAATGAGATAAAAATATGAAATAGGGCTGGGAAGATCCAGGTTAATACATAGCCCTCTCTGGACTTCTCCCCAGCCTGTGCTATAGTATCGTAATCAAAGTTTATTACTTTCATTGTAAATATCTTCTTCCACAGAGAGTCAGGGAGAGCAGTGAGAAATCGTTTCCACTATGAGCTGTGTTTATTATAGTTTAAAATCTAAAAGCCACTTAAAATTTTTATGAGTAAATATAACATCACTTCGTTTTTGTAATCAGCATAGGCTAAGCAATATTATTTTGCTAGTGTTACTTCACTCCATGTGGAATTTTACAGGATGCTATATGAAACACAGATTTAAAAATTAATTTCAGTGAGTAATTCTTTACCTTCTACTATGCCATATTTTGAAGGTGGTTTTGTTTGTCACTGGCTTGGTTCAGTGTGTCTCCTCGTGGTTAATGCTGTTGAATTATGATTTTGACACTTGGATTCGATTTGGGTAGCTATGCATAGTATAAAGTCCCAGGAAAATAAAATTAGAGTTCTTGTCATGGTCTCACTGAGTGTTGACAGTAGTACTATATTGATTACTGCATGGTTTCTGATTTCCAAGATTAAGCAGTGAATTCTTTACCATTATATTATCTCTGGCAAAAACCCACAGGCTTCCTTTTTTCTTAATTTTTGGGGTACTGAAAGTCTGATAATGTGGCTTTTCACATTTCTCTCATAAGAGACACATCCAATTCATCTTTTCATATTCATTCATTCAAGTCTTGGTCTGGTGCTCAAATTTGAATATGTAGCATTGACCAATTATAGTGCAGAGAAATAAAAGTCAAGATATTTTTGATAATGACTCTTCTTTTTACCTGGCAAGAATAAAGAGAAGTTTATGGAATATATTAAGTGCATCATTCTTAACCAGCTAAAATTCTTTCAAAAGGAATGCGTTCTTACTGATTTATTTAAAGCATCAGAAGAAAACAGTGAAGAATCTCGCTTACAATGCTAGGTGGTCTTGTTTTTATTTTCTTCTTGGAATGGTAGGAATGGGTCATCCTCATTCAGCCCTCTCATTGTATTCAAAAAGACATTGGAGCTTTAGCATCGAAAACAAACTCATTCAGTATCACAAAGATACTCAGTAGCAAAAGGGGACTTCAGCCCAGGTTTCTTTCGTTCCTGGTAGAGCCTGGTTCACTCTGCATCTGTGTGTTTGCAGATGTTTAAGGGACACTTTCTTGTTTGGGAAGAACAGAAGCTGAAGGGATAGTATGAGGCATGAGGAGAAAGGGATTCTTTGGAGGGAAGAGCTAGAACTTCATTATGACAAATGGAATTGTACCCAGGGCATCTCTAAGAGTTTAAACAGTGGGAGTTTGTGTCACTTCTCTCTAGTGTTTCTACCTTTAATGTTCCTCAGATTCTTTCTTAACATTTTTTTTTTTTTTACTATTTCCTACATCTTCTCTCTTCTCTGTCACCTATGATGCTTCTTTGTAATGCCAAATTTTGATCTGTTTAAAATTCCTCTTAGCAAGAAGCTGATTAGCAGAGTTTATTTTGTTTTGTCTGGGAGATAGGGTCTCACTCTGTGGCCCTGGCTAGAGTGTAGACTGCCGTGGCATCAGCCTAGCTCACAGCAACCTCAAACTCCTGGGCTCAAGCGATCCTCCTGCCTCAGCCTCCCGAGTAGCTGGAACTATATAGGCCGTGCCACCATGCCCAGCTAATTTTTCTATTTTTTGTACGGATGGGGTCTCCCTCTTGCTCAGGCTGCTCTCGAACTCCTGGCCTCAAGCAGTCTTCCCCCCTCAGCCTCCCAGAGTACTAGGATTACAGGTGTGAACCACCAAGCCCAGCTTAGTTATGCCAAAAGGAAAATATAGAATCGTCCTGATCCCTCACCGTCTTCCACAGCTGCCTATGAATCTGCTATATTCCGTTCAAAGCTGGTTACCAGGAAAGTTTCAATTGGCTCTTGAGCTCTCTGGGGCTCAGTTGTGCCACCTTTGGGTTGTCACATCCCTGTTTCTCTAAATCTGAGCAAAGGTTGCACAGAAACACTCTTTTAGACGGAAAAAGCACACTTTCCGCTGTGGTTATAAATTGCCACACAGCTAAACCATCTCTTTCCAAACATATATTTGCTCTTAACTTGGGCCAATAGAGAGTGGAATTCTCAAGAATTTCTTGTTTCCTTGGGTATCCCAGAAAAAAAAAGTCTTCAAAGTGAGAATATGTCAAAGCATTACATTATGTAAAACTCCCCGTGAGATTTTAATTTATATTTTCTATGAAATATTAGTCATTTTGTTTATTTTTTGTTCTCTCACTCACCGGTCCCATATTTCCCTAAGAAGTACGTGGTTATGGTTTAAGAATTTCTGTACAAGTGTTCTTGATCAATGATCTTGGTATATTGCTGCAATCTAATTTCTTCCTGTACAAAGAATTCCTTGTGATTGACTTAAATCTTGCTAAGATGTTTAGAATATATTTAGATACAAGATTCCAAGAAAGATGAGGAGTTGTTTGGGGAAGACATTCGTGGGAGGCTGTTTTCTTTTTCCTCGATGACCTTGATCTTTGGAACTATGTTTAATCCCATTAAGACAGCTATAATAATTATTATTATAATAAAGTCTTCTGCAATAAGCTAATTGTTTAGATCTACCTAGATTAGTGACTACTTATAAATGAAATGTTAAAAAAATTAAGAAATTCCTCTTGAAACATTAATATGCTTGAGTAAAATAACGACCATACTTCCACTATTTCCAAACATTTAAAAAAGGATATATGCATAGTCAATCATTTTGTTAACCTACATTTTAGAAATGTTTATGTTTTCTGCCTTTTCCAATGCCCTTCAATCCCTTCTTTATTTGGAATTGGAAAAAAGAATTTGTCATTTGTCAACTTATGCAGTCTGCTAATTACTTCTGGGACTATGTAAGGCTAACAGTGTAGTTAAGTTTTCATATAAAGATGGATCTCATAGGCAGTAATTATTAGATCATGAATTATGAGTGATTCCTTTCATGAATTCATATTTGAAAATTGAAATGACCATATTCACTATGCTGTACACCTCACATACTATATGTTCATTTTTATTTGCAGTTTATTTGGGTAGGTCTTTATATAGGAAATCTTGACTTAGCAATTAATTTTTAGGTAATAAGCTCTATGAAAACTCCTGGGCATTAGAATAAGGAAGAGAATAATAGACCTGTTTGGGTTTCAAATTAATTAAGTAATGCTTTCCTTTAAAAGATTAATACAGGAGAATATACAAGTAATCAATCATCTCCTAAGTTTTTTTTTTTTTTTAAACCAGGAGAAAAATTATTTGCATGAGATTCAAGATCCCATAGGACTGATTGGGCTCATAGCAATAAAATAGCTGTCTCATTTGAGATGAGCAGAAAAATACTATTTTTATAAAATTTGATGAAGTTTCCAATTGGTGCTTTAAAATATTGGCTCATGTGGGTAACAGGCTTAGCCTTACTTCCCTCCCAAATTGCCAGTGCTGTTAGAAATGTTCTGATATTGGTGATTAGCATATACTTATATTGAGAAGCATGTAAAATATGTTTTATAATTCATATAGCAGTCTCCATGTAGTTTATATTTTATAGGTTTCCCATGAAGACTAATAAACAAGAACAACATGAGTGAAATACGATAGAGTTGTCTTTCCAATGCATAGTATCCATCCTGTATCTACACTATTTATTAATTTTGAAATTTTTCAGTCACTTTGAGTAAACATTCATTATGAGCAAGAAGAATTCAGATATTCAAAGATGTCCCTAAAGTCATCTTTACCAGTGCTAATAAATGTCTCCACTTTTTAAATCTTTGAAAAATCACTTAATCAGAATTTTTGTATGCATGACAGTGACCTATGATTTTAGAGAAAGAGTCACAGAAATGCAAGTTGAAATATACACTAGACACATCATACGTATATTTGTATATAGTATATGTATATGTGTATTTTGCCAAATAGTTATGTTTAGTAATTATTATGTGCATGGTAAAACCTCAAACAAGTCACACATTCATAATAATTAGAAAAATTCCTTTCCAGAAGATATTTTTCAGACACTGCAACTTTTTCTTGAGAACAGATCCATCCAATTTATTAAAAAAGAATTCAGATATTACAAATACAGTAATGTTTCTTATGTTTGCTTGTGTGGTCAGCATAAATTCAGCTGTGTTCAATTTCTGATGATTCTAAATCCTTATTAATTTGCGCTAATGAAGGACTAATTTGATGTCCTTTATAAATTAACAAATTTAATATAGCAAATTACTATGGGAAAATATGTTGCTTAAATAAACATCAAGCAGATTGTAGCACTTAATAGTTTCTTAAAGGTTTATAAGTGTTACGTAAAATTATTTTCCATCATACTTATAATAAAAAGTTATCTTCTAAATCCGTAAATTCTACCATAGCACACACAAAAATACTTGCTAAGTGGTTTTAATTATTATAAAACTATTAACTTTTATCATGAGCAAGATTCATTTTAAAACGAAGATGCCTTTGGCATAGAAATATGTATTAGCTTCTCAGCTTGTATTTCCCCCAAGATTAATTCAGAAAATTTGTATTTGAAACCATAATCATTAAAGATATTTTTTAAGGTCTCCAGGATAAATACCTAATTTTAGGAAGGGAGGCTATTTTAAGTTGTCTTGATATAGATGCATCTTTGTAGTAACCTCCTGTTCTGGTATTTTAATGTAACACTCAATTAAAAAAGGAAATGTTACACTTAACCTTTACTCTAATCTGAGGTCTTTTCTGCCGGAGATAGAAAAGCTCTGATTTTTTTTTCCCTTGGAAGGTCACAGTGGACAACTACTTGGTTTGTCAAAAATAAATTTCCAAAGAGTCTTGATACCCAAGTTGGGCTTGGGACTCTTGCCCAGCTCTCGTGCTCCTTGAGTTGGCGACTTCAATCTGGTCGTAATGTCATTGGTGCGTCCTGAATGAAGGACAGAGAGAGGCAGCACCTCCCTTAATGTGGGTGCTTTGTTTTGGAAACATTCATCTTCATCTAGGTATTGTATTCCTAGAGGAGAACAAACCCTGTGAATCTTTGATAAAAAATTTCTACCAGATTAAACTTTCCAAAAGAAGGACAATTTCATTTCCTGTAGCCCAAATCAAGAAAGCTAGTTGTAGCTGCTTCAGAAACGGTTGTCACCGTGTCACCAACTCACAGTGCCCCCTTTGGTGCCTGCTGCTTGAGGAAGTCCCAGGGATCTCAAACAGCGTGACATGCTAACTCCTTTCACTTTGTCCAGTCTGTAGTGGGTGTAAAAGCTGGTGTAGATAACTGTGATGTCTTGACAACAGTCTTACTCCTTGAATTGTTTGCCCTCCACTTCCTAGATGAGGGAGGATTATGCACATGTAATTTGCACCATAAAGACACATTTTTGTCTTACTAAAGGTATATTTCTGATCTTTATAGATTCATACTTAACCTGACACTTAACTCTGAAATATCCCTGATGAATCTCATATGACATCTTTTTTTTCCCCTTTCAATTCCACAAAACCTTTTGTCTCTAGAGAAGTTTCAAAAGTTGAAGAAATATTGCCACCTTGATTAATTCTTCTTACCTCTTATTGATTTCTCTAGTCCATTAATTGGACTAGACTAGTCCAATCATGGCAGCCCTACATGATCATATATATTTATTAAGCACATTGACTGCTGTGTGAGTTGTATTTAACTCAGGCTAGTCTTGAGCCCAAGGCTGCATGAAGCACAACCCTGCAGTTGCTTTGTGAAATTCTTACTTGTAGAGCTTCTTAAGGTTACAATTAATATTGACAATTTAATTCTAAAAATGTGGATTGCATTGCATATAACTCATGCAAAGAAAACAATACGAAGTGACAAATTAGAAAGGATCATTTTGTTTTAATAAAACACCATGGCCCCAGGGAAAAGTATTTTTTTTCTAGTGTGGAAGTCGGTGTATTGAAGATGATGACATTGGTAATGAACATTTCTAACTCCATGATTAACAGAGTATTAATTCAAACATTAAAATAAGTCATATATGACTTGGTTGGGATTTTCAGTAAGATCTAGTAATTTTTGTACAGTAGATGGTATCACGATAGGTTTAAATGATCCTTTCATCCTGGATAGGGAATATGAACTGTTGAGTCATTTGATAAGACTTATAAATATAATAAAATTGGAACGGTAGCCATCATTGCATCTCTGCATCTTACTAGCCTTCTTAAAACTGTACCTTACTGAAAATATTAGATTCCAACAAACTGAAGCCGTTTTCAGGAGGACTGAATACAGAATTAGTTAGACAAGGTCACCACCCTGTATTCCATCATAAAGGCAGTGAGAAACCAAGTTCAAAGTTTGAATAAGACTATCACAATTCTCATGATAATGACCAGTCCACAGTGTGCAGGTTCATCTTTCATTTCTTTGTGGTAGGAGTTGCCTATTTATCTTGTGCCCTGCCCTGATCCCTGAGTATCTGACATGCCTATCTTACGATCAGGCAATTATCTTGTTCACCATCGACAGTGTTCATTAGAGTTCCATGCCAGTACTTGATGTTTTTCACCAATCCCAACTGGAAAGATTGCTTGCTTTTATTTTTGAACAGACATGCAATTTTCCAAAGATCTATCACTTAAAAAATTCTGACGACAGCTTTGTGATCCTATGGCTTTGACTTCCTTGTTTCCCTTATTAATACTTTTGTTTCTGAGGAGCTCACTGTCTCTTTGTCTGAGATTCTCGCTCACTGACCTGAGTGGTAGCAGTGAATTCTTGCTAATTATTTGAGCACAGTTGATCTCATGCTCTTTGCCCAAGAAAGAAGAACTGTTTGTTTGCACAGTGTGTGTGTGTGTTTTTTTTTTTTTTTAGCATTTCTCACTCTCCGTATGGCTAACGCCTGGACTTTCATCACTCCTTTGCAATACCTTCTTCCTTTACACTCATATTTACTTTGAAAGCAGGCTGTGGTGCCAGCTCCCGGCCTCCTGATTGTACATCATAATATCCTATCACCTTTTGTTTTTGCAGAGATCATCACTGGCATGCCAGCCTCAACTGAAAGAGCCTATGTGTCTTCAGGTAAGGAAAATAAGCCCGGCCAATTTTACTAACCAGAATGACACACATAGCTGCTGGCTGCTCCTTGTACTAATCAAAACCCTTTCTGCATCTAAATCTCAGCTGTCCTTGTTTTCTGCTTCAGTACTCTTCTCAACTTTGTTCTGACTTTTTAGATTTTACTTAAGGGAGGATGGTTCTTGCTGTACGTCCGAACTTGGGCTTGAGACGAACACATGAGAGAAAGAAATCTGCTTCTGGACACAGCTTAGTGACATTAGACAAGTGACAAATGGAGACATCTGGGTTATAAGCTCAGTTTTCTTATCTTTCTAGGTGCTTCTCTTAGTTGCCTCTGCTCTTTGACTCATCAGAGTGTATTTCTGGATCATAGATCAGTATCTAATCTCTGGCCTTAGGGTTTCTAATGACCAGTTGTGGATCATTAAACTTAAAAAAAAAAAAAACATAGCCTGACTTTTTAAAATGCTGTTGCGTTTTGTTTTTGTTTATTTCTCACTTGCCTAAAATATTTGCTGATAGCAGTTACAGTCTGGGCAGATATTGGCTACTTAAAACTTAGCTCTACTAATGCATGTACAACCATACTTCATAGATTTCTCCACTACCTATGCATTTAATCTACTGTATATTTATTTTTTTAATTTTTCTTTTTCTCTAATTCTATGGTTAATAGAACTTTAGAGCTTTTAAAAATTAATCTTGCAAACAAATTTTTGGAGATCTGAGATTGAGAAAACTATTTCAGAGGTATAATGATAACTTGGTTTTACATGTTTCTTTTTTATTTACAAAGATTTTTACTTCTCATTTGATAATCACAATAAAATTGTGAGATAAGACATCATTTTCTCTCATGTTAAAGGTGGTAAGGAAGGAGGAAAAGGGAGAGAGAAAAAAAGAAAACAAATAGTTGAATACTGTGAGTTTCTTCACCTTTCATTTAGGCATTTTTGTATAAAAATTATTAGCTGATTCCATTGGGAACCTGAGCTTTTAAATTCATATAGTGCTTGTCTTGGGAATTTAGATTGACCGACTATTACTTCCTGATATTGTGACTTAAATATTGATAACTTTCTGGCTTTGACTTTTCATCCTTCTTTGATACTAAGTTTCTCTTACTTCATACTAATGAAAACCCATCGGTCCCATGTTTTCTTTCTTTTCTGCATGAGAGATGTTTTATGCTCCTTCTATACTTACATACTGGTTTTCCTTCCTTTATCCTTGCTACCTAAGAGAATCTTGCTACTATGCATCCCTAACTATTATAGTATTTATTTAGCATGTTTTGTTTGATCCTAATATAATTGCTCCAGTCGAGCTTGCATGGACTTTATTCCACACTATGTTTGGTCAGGATGTTTATGCAGATCCCAGTTGCCTGGAAATACTCTCTTTTTTTTTTTTTTTGTATGCATGAAAGTTGACTTTCATTCTCTCCAAATATAGAGGTTCTTGTTTTTGGTTTTATGTTTCTTAAAATCAAGAAGGAATTATCTGTCTCACCTGTAGTGTGGCTCTGTGTAGCGTGGTATTGCTCAAAAGCTCATAGAGCAATTGGTGTGTAGAATATCTTTGCAGGTGGACTAACTCCATCTTCATCTCTTTTAAAAAGCCTTTAGGTCTAGACTACAAAAATACTCCTTTGTGGTCTTTGAATATTGCACATACCTTCCTTTGACTTAAAGATGCTTCAGTTTTTCTGCTGCCCTGTGTTCAAGCCCTCTTTCTCCACGTGATACCCAAGCCTGGCAAATTTCTAATTTAAGAGTCCAAGCGGCATGACTCCATAAACCCTCTTTCCACTTTTATGTTTTATAGAGTCTCCCATTAGAATATCAGTGTCAACAGAAGGAGCAAATACTTCTGCATGTAAGTATATTGAAATATTCTGTTCACTAGTTTTTAACCCAAGGAATGTGTCTGCTTCGGAAGATCATGTTTACTTCCATCCTCTGCCCTCATTAAGGGATAGCAGGACGGTATTTGCTGGTAATATATTGGGGGTCAATGAAGTACCCCCTTTCCCCCAATAGATATAAGAATGTTAAAAGATACCACATATGTGTTAGTTTTAGGATAATCTGGTGGCTTTGAATGTTGGAAAATAATCACATGGCTTTTGAGGCCTAGTAGGTTATTTTCAGCTTGTCTTGATGCTTTCAACAACTGTCTGAAGCATGATATCCAGCTGTTTGGGGCTTCTATTCCAAAAACTCCTCAGTTCTCCTACAAAGACTGCTGTGATGGAGTGAGGAAACTATATATAGATGCCCTTAATTCAGATTTGATAGCAAGTGACTAATTATGAGGATGTTTGAAAGCAAGTCCCTAGGCAAGATCTCAGATTAGTTTTCATCTGTTGAACGTGGAATGTGCCGTGTGCATATGGACTTCTACGACTGTTAGATTGATTGGTGCTTTGTTCTGTGTCAGGGGAACTTAAGAAATTAACAAGGACTAGGAAAAAGAGTTTTTGATACTTATAAATTGAGCCTATCGTACTATTCAATTTTGGTATTTAACAGGGGAGTTTATCAGACCCTGACAATTAAACTTGTAACTATAGTCTTTCTCTTTCTTATTTTGGCTCTTTATTTAAAGCATTTCTCAGCTTGATAAGCTCTCCAATAAATAGATGTTCCTAGTTATTCTAATTTGGAGAATGTGTTGAAGGAACAATTTCCTTTTGCAATCAGCATGGTAGGAAACTCTTGAAAAGAAAGTCTGTACTTTTGGCAACTTAAGCGGTTTTGTCAATCTGTTTAAATAGATCCCAGTTCGGTCTAAACTCTTTCCCTTAGGGTTGTTGGTACCAGAACTGTAGCTAAATGGTGTAAAAATATCTTTTATTGCATGAAATATGGTATTTTGGCTATATTTTAGCTACATAAAGCATCATTTAACTGAATTGATGGCAATAATCGAGTAAGATCAAACAGGAAATGAAATGCAAGGAAGAGCTAAAATGGCTTCCTCTGTGTGCTAAGGACCCTTATAATATACTCCAAAATGGTAATCCCTGCTGGGCTGGGTTATTTGTTATTTAATTCTACTCATAAAATGATTTGTATAATTATGTGGATTTTAGAAACTAGCAATAAGGAATCATATTGAGCTTTGGTTTTTTTAAAAAAGTGTTTAGTATTCGAAAGCAAATACTAGGGTTTGACTTTTCGGGGGTTTTTAGGGTAGGGTCTTTTTTTGGCATTTTGTCAGAGAATAATTCCTCCTCTTCATGACTCATTGAATAAAGTTATTGAAAAGTAATTGGAACCCTTTGCGCTATCACCAGTGGGGCAATGGATCCTATCCTTGAGCACATCTGAGCAGTTTGGGAATGGAAGGAAGGGACTTCTTTTGGTTTTCGGGAGCTTTGGGGAACTGAAACGAATCTCTTGGTTTACATTTCTATTCATTACAGTATTAGTGAGAGAGAAATAATTTTGAAATCTGAGTATGCTATCTAACTCTCAGCAGAATTATTTCCTGCTATTTGGTAATGGTTTAGGACTGAGACAGAAGACTTTGCGTGCCATCGTGCCATTTTTGTGCACCAGTCACCCCACCCCATGCATGGGAGGGTCTTAGTAAATGCTGTTGAATTGATCTGCGCATACATTTTTTGATCTCATGAAAATATGCTCTAGAATTTGAAAACACAAGCCATGATTCTAGTCCAGTGTTGGTTATGACACGGAAAACAGTGTGAGGCACACCAGCCATTTCAAGACAGCCTACCGCAGGACTCTGCATCGCAAGGGAAAAGCGCTGATATAGAAATATCTCCATTTGGTAAAGGCTGGTGGCGAAAACTTGAAAAATCAGCAGCGACAACAAGCTGGACTTAAAAATTCAAAATATATAAAAAATAAGTCACAGGGGTGACTCTTTTGGATAAGTTCATGAGTCAGAAATAATCAGCCTTGGAGATTTCTTTTCTCTTTATTTTAGCCAGAACAGAGACGCAGGTAAATCCCTGTATTTGAGAAGTGAATTCTGCTTTTATAATGTAATCAATGCCTGCCTGGGCTGCGTTCTTTGAACTATTGACATTGGTGTTTTCTAAAGTAAATGTGGGAAAGCCTTTCTGAAGTAGTATGGATTCAGCAAACATTTGATATATAAAAATAGTTCTGTGTGCTTTGGGGGTCAGTATACAAATGGAGAGGCAGTCCAGTTAGTTACTTTTCAGTCCTCTAGGTACAAATGTACCTGCACACTCCTATACGGGAAATGCATGCTTGCTGCCAGGGCAGCTTTGGAGAGCTGCTCACTGCAGGGTGCATTTTTAGATGGTTCGGTTGTAATGGTTTATGTCCTTGTTCCTGCTCAGAACCCTGCCAAGTCCGTCTCCTCTGCTATATCTGTTTGCTCCAAAGCCTGATTGCTTCGGCCCCCAAAAGGAGAAAACAAAAATCACCTATCTACTCATCCAAAATAATAATGCAAATAATGTAGTAGTATATTTTTTCTTCTAATAAGTGTTTTTCATTCTGACTTCCTACTTATGCATCATCCCCGTATCTCCTTAATGTATCATAAGCGTTTTTCTCATACCTTTAAATACTAATCAGGAATATAATGTATTTTTTAAATCAATGTAATAATAAGGAAATCATTCTTGACTGGAGGTCTTAGGGGACTTATTTTTCATCTACAAACACTGTCAGTTTTGTCTCCTTTCTATTTATTTTTTCTACCATTTTGTAAATTTGGATGAAATATCAGAGTTATTCATCCTTCCCTTTGTAAGACAGTTTTTATTACTCCTTTTTTTTTTGAATTTGGAAACTTCCATTGTACATTGACTGTTTTTGGAGTTGTTAATTATAATTAAAGCAATTGATTATAATACCCTCCTAATAAAATCAACATTATTTCCTTTATCTTATTTTCCTTATTTTATGTTATTTTAGTATGTGTTGCTGCTGAAGCAGGCATGTATTTTATGTCATTTTGTTTTGCAAATGAGGCATCTGTGACCAAAAAGTAATAAGTAATTGGCTAAATGAGTGTTCTGTTACACATAAGTGACACATTTGAGAAAGAAAAGAACTTTACAAAACAGGCAATAGGACTATCTTGTACCTCCTTTTATAGATTCAGCAAAAAAAAGTAAATGGATTGTTTAGAACAAGCCTTAATGACTTCTCTCTCAAGTGCCAGCTGCTTGGTGACCCCGTTTTGCAGACAATTCTGTTGAATGCTATAAAAAATACAATTGTTATTCCAGCCACTTTAATGAATTAAGCACCATCCATTCCAATTTAATATATAAACGAGGGAAAGAAAGCTGAAGAGTCTAGTGAATAGTCTTGGGAAAGAAAATAAAGATAAGTCCCTGGGAAATTGTCTTAAAAGTAGTAATATGTGTTTCAAATACAAATAATAGCAAACACTGATTGAAGCCTTGCTGTGTTGGGTGTTTTACGTAAAGGACTCATGTTCTGAGGAAACCTTATTCCGCTTTACACGTGATGATGTATCTTGTCCAAATTCCCACAAGCAGCATTCAAACTCAGTACACTAGCCTGCTATGATGCATAAGGTTTTGTTGCCTCAAAGAAAAAGTCTGTACGGGATTGAAAAGTTGCCTTAGGGTAAATCAGTTGACTAGGACCAGTTGAGCCCCTATGATTTTTTTTTTTCTTTCTTGAGACAAGGTCTTGCTCTGTCTCCTAGGCTGGAGTGTAGTGGTGCATTCATAGCTCACTGCAGCCTCTAACTTTTGGGCTCAAGTGATCCTCCCATCTCAGCTTCACCAGTAGCTGGGACTACAGGGCAGGAGCCACTTCACCTGGTTAATTTAAGTTTTTTAGACACAGGGTCTTACTATTTACCCAGGCTAGTCATCAACTCCTGGCCTTGAGCGATCCTCCCACCCCAGCCTCCGGAGTGGCTGGGATTACAGGCTTCAGCCACAGTGCCCAGCTCTCCTATGATCTTAATGTTACACATCGAAGCATGACAGGCGAATGAAATGGAGAGAATACAGACAGGATGGACTCATGCTCTTAGGTGTAAATATTAATACTAATGCTGCTAATTACTTTGTCATCTTAGGCCAGTGACTTAACTTCATTGAGACTCTGTTTCTGTCTGTGTGATCCTGTTTGTCTTAAACATACATTGGGAAGCCTAATGTGAGAAAATGAATGTAAATCATTTAGCACAGCTCTGCTTTAAGGTGCCTCCTTCCCCCATATATGGAAGAGAACTTACGTGAAAAGGGGGCATGGCTCTAAGAGGATGAAAATCAGGGAATCCTCACATCTTACTTGAACAACATTGGGAAATATCCTTATTATTGAAGAAGGAAACTAGTTTATGATTTTCAGCCTAAATGATGATGCTGAAAGTTCTTTGCCAGCAAATCACAGTGCCTTTTCAAAATATTATATATTCTCAGCTAAGGCTGCATTTCAAAGGAACTTATCCAAGAAATCCTCTCTGAAATCTCTGAATGAAATGAACAATTCAGTCTTTGATTTGGCACCTGAAAGAGCTGCAGGAAAAAATGTCTTTTGTCTACGAAGACATTTCCGACATAACAAGATACAGCATTTTCCCTTGGGAATAGCACACTCGTCTGTATTGATTAGATTGGACCAGGTCTGGATGGCCCATTGGTGAGATTTTTGACCTGTGGTTCATACATTCCACCCTCAGCTGTAACTGACTTACCTGCTTTAATGGTAAAGGAAACTGCGGAGACCTTTAGTAAATTATTCTCAGCTGGAAAAAAAAAAAAATGGCTTTTCAACATTAGGTCTTTATTTGGTGGTAAAATGTAAACCTGTCCTGTCACTGTTAGAGAGCTACTTCTAACTGAGTGCAAATTGTGTTTTCAGATTTTTATAAATGGCATT